AGTAACGAATGAAAGTATAAATCTCATGTGTTTCTGTATCCAAGTAACGAATGAAAGTATAAATCTCATGTGTTTCTGTATCCAAGTAACGAATGAAAGTATAAATCTCATGTGTTTCTGTATCCAAGTAATGAATGAAAGTATAAATCTCATGTGTTTCTGCATCCAAGTAACGAAGGAAAGTAATCTCATGACGTGTTTCTGCCTCCTCACCTCCACCAGCAAGCGCTGAATATGCAAGCGCCGAGGTCATCGGGGGTTCAAGCCCTCCAGGTGCAAAACTTGCAAGGTCTGCAAAACATCCAGACGTTTCCTGCCCTACAAGGTCTCCAGGGGCTTCAAGGCCTACAGGTATGTTCCAGAATGTTCCCTTGTCTTCTTTCATCTATAGTGACTATAACTTCTTGATCCGATCATTTTTTGGGGGGGAACAAAAGGTCTTCAGAGGCTTCAAGGCCTACAGGTATGTGTGCCAGAATGTAAGTTCCCTAGATCTAGTCTTCTTTTATCTATAGCGATAATAACTTGATCTGGTAATTTTTTGGAGGAGAGAAGGGTTTTTTAAAGTCCATACTTTTTGGATTCCGTTTTCTTCAGACAGACAACAAAAAAAGCGTTTGAGATCGATATACACATGTATATATATATTTATTACTGATTTCATCATCGCCTTTGGCCCGCGTGATCTTGCTGTGATAATTAACGTTATAGGGGGGTGGGTCCGCTTAAATCCTTACCCCATTATGAGATTGCCTGGGGAAATGAAAAGATCTATAGAGGCACCTTACCAAGGATGCTAAACCTTTTTTTTATATATATACAAAAGGTGCTAAACTTCTGTTTGCTTGATTTTTTATACAAAAGATGCTAAACTTTTTTTTTGTTTTAAAAAATTTTTATTTTTCCTGCAGGCTTTAACGCCTCAAGGACAGCTGATCAACGGGGCGTCTGTGCCCAACCTGGGAGCTGTGGCCATCGGCGCGGGCGGAGCTATCAGTGCCATACCCCTGAGTGGTCAGTCGGGGACGGTACAGGCAGGGAGCAGTGCCGTCAATGCTCAGGGAGTGCTCAGTGAGTGCAACTTATGCAGCATGCATTTTTTCATCTTGCTGTAATATTTTTTGTAATGATCACTAGTCATTCTTTTCTTTACGGTACTTTGAGTTTTTCACAGGAATTGTGATTATATCTGAGTGATATGATCATGACTTTTGTAGGTGCGTAAAGTTTGTTATCGTTGTCAACCTGAAAAAGAATTAACGTCAGACGAGCCAATGTTCTGGATAAATGCAGCTGAAATTGTAGGGGCTTTGCGCTTTGCATGAAAATAATCTTGATTAAAGATGTATGAAGTAATTATGATCTGTGAATTTTGAGTTTCCTCGCGCACGTTTCCAAAGAATTCAGGATTTATTTCTGTGGCTAGTTGGCTCCTTCATTGTTACTTCAATGTTACTTCATTGTTACCGTATTTCAATATTTCAATGTTGTTGTTTCGGACATCAGAAGGCAGAGTCAAAACAGGGCTACTGAATTTTGTCCTAGCACCAGCAACCAATATGCCATATGCCAACACTAGGCTGTATTTGTTTCCCCTAGCTTATATTTTTTTTTCTCTTTGTTCACTCCAATTACAGCTCAGATCCAGCAGGTTTCCCCTAGCTTATACATATATTTGTTTCTCTTTGTTCACTCCAATTACAGTGAGTCAGCCCGCTTGTCCTTAAGAGCGACCGTATGTCTTTCTATTGTTGTATTTTGTTAATTAAAAAAAAAAAACTGTTGCATTTTTCATACATGCCCTATCAAGACAGCAATAAACCATTTTCTAGAAATACGAATGAAAGTAATCTCACATGTTTCTGCATCCAAATAACGAATAAAAGTATAAATCTCATGTGTTTGTGCATCCAAGTAACGAATAAAAGTATAAATCTCATGTGTTTCTGCATCCAAGTAACGAATGAAAGTATAAATCTCATGTGTTTCTGCATCCGAGTAACGAATGAAAGTATAAATCTCATGTGTTTCTGTATCCAAGTAACGAATGAAAGTATAAATCTCATGTGTTTCTGTATCCAAGTAATGAATGAAAGTATAAATCTCACGTGCTTCTGCATCCAAGTTTAACGAATGAAAGTATAAATCTCATGTGTTT